TGGGGGTGGGGGGTACTGGAATGTGCGATCACCAATAGGTCAAGCATTCCAACGCTTTGTCAGCTGTTCCAGGGCAGATCGACATCGCAAATCGTATGTCCAGGAGAACTGATCTGACCTGGAACAACTGTTCGGTCCTGAAATTTAACTTCTATCCGACTTTGTGAGTGGGGTGGAATGTGAGATCGCCCTCACAGAGTCGGATAGAAGTGACATTTCAGGACCGAACAGCTGATCCAGGGCAGATCGGTTCTCCTGCACATACGATTTTACGGCCGGTACCCATGTGAGGGGTCTGGGCAGCCTGGGGGGCCTCTTACATGAGTTTCAGCTGTACCAGGGGCGGCATGGCAGAGGTGACAGGGAAGGGGGTGGAGGAGGTTAGGCCCCAGCAGGAGCAGGTAAGAGGAGTTGGGAGGAGGTACATAGAGTGTCTCAGATGGGCCGTGCAGGATCTATGGTGTGCTCTGCAGGGTCACTCTCAGGTGGGCTCTGCGGGGTCTCAGGTAAGCCCAGAGTTCAGTGCGTTACTAAGCCCACATATACCTATATAGATAGCATAAAAGGTAAATAATGATATATGGAGTGTTATCTTCATTTTAGATGTCAAAAGGGTTTTATGGCTCCCGGTGTTTTCTTTTCTGTGGGAAACGGGTCCAAATGGCTCTGAGTGTTTGCTGACCCCTGGTCTACACAGTCTGATGGCTAACCAAGGCTGACTTTACTAACGCTTTTGAGGAAGGTGGGCCAAATATCAAACTAAAAAAATCGACCTGAGGTCGACACAGAGCAAGAATAAGGGCTGGCACCTTGGTAAGACCTGTGGGAGCAGAGGACAGGTCATGAGAAGGTCTGCAATTTGGAAAGGTTTTGGGCCCAAAAGGAAAGATCACAGACAGCGTAGAAGTAGCAGAAGAACGGGTACATGCTAGAAGATCTCTCAGATGGAGGAAAATAATGACCGACCTGGTGTATGCAATGTGAAATTTTGTACCTGAAGGAAACCGTTAAGGACCATTAGCTCCAGCATGAGGTGGATGCCCTGTGGTCGTGATCCTAGGGAAATAAGCTGTTAGAGCAGAGCAAGTGTGCGCCATTCTATTGGAGACACAGCCAAAATTCCATCCTGTAAACTCTGGATATGATGCTCTAGACCCAAATGTGGGAAATGGCTAGATAAGATGTAAGATGAGGTCTTCCGAGAGTTCAAGCAGGCCCAGAAACAGCAGACACAAAACTTCAGGTCTGGGAAAATGCAGACTGTGCCACAAAGGTCTAAAAAATCTAAAACTTCCCCACGTACCAAACAAACTGAAGAGATGGGGTAAAATTCTTCATAGTCATCAATACTAACAGTATAGATATATGTAATATAATAGCGAGACCTTATCACTGAGGCAAACTCACAATCCTGCTACAAATGATGAGGGAATAATGGCCGGTTGTGACAAGGTCACTGTAAATCATCATACACCCTGATAACTTGTGCCTCAGTAGCTGTGTAGCAGTTAAAGGAGAACTATGGGGTTAGGGCTTTTCCCCATAGTTCTCCTAAGGGTAACGGGAGGACACAAACTAGCGTCCTCCCGTCACCCAAAGCTCAGTATAGACGCCGCAGCCGAAACGGATCCCGACAATTATGTCTGGATCCGCCCAGCTGTGTGAGTGACAGCTGGCTCTGCCTATGTAGATGCAGAGCCAGCTGTACCCGCCCCCTCCCCTCTCCGTTCCGCCAGTCAGCGCTGGAGGATCGGACAGGGGAGGGGGGAATCCAGTCACTCCCCAGTCACGGTTCACCTGCGGGGATAGATCGAGAAGTGAGCGAGCGCCGGTATGTGTTCGCTCACTTCCCGATCTACTGAGCCGACCTGTGACAGTCTCATTGTCACAGGTCGGCTCAGATTATGAGGCTGAGTGAAAAGCACTCACCTCATAATTCTCCTTTAAGAGTCTTGATTATAGAGGGAAAAAAATTATATAAAAAAAATCTTTGCGGTACGATTAAAGGTGCCCATACACCTATTGCTAATCGTTCAGAAATCGTCTACGAATGGTCTTTTGAATGATAAACGATCAGTTGATGGGAACCCAACAAAGTTTTTTTTTTTACTGTTCTCCTGGCCCAATTTCCTCGGTCAGGCTGGAAAACGTTTTTCGAATCGTACGAAATTCAATGAATTAGTGGCGTTTTCATATGAAAAAAAATCGCAACATGAACACTGCACATGCGCAAATGAAAATCCGTTCTGTCGATCGACGAAATTCAGTGAGTTAGTATTGCTTAGGAACGATTATGGAAACGACATTGGTCTGTGCTTGATGGGCTATTTGAGCTAGAATCGAACGAGGGCTCTTGGCAGCAACGCAAATCTATGTTTTTTTACCCACTGACACAGGCCGCGTTAATTCCCCGATCAGATCACAGCTGTGCTTCATCTTATCATGTCATCTATCAAGCATAAAGTTCACTGACCTGTGAACTATGTACTTAGAATGATGATACATATACTGTGTGTGAACAACTAATGACGTCTAACAGTATTTTTCGGTCTCTGACACACCTTATGTCCTGCTCAATCTTATTAACGCTCTCACTTCCCCAAACAAGAAACAAAATTTACTACACACACACACGCATTCAGAGAGGATTTTGTGGAAAGAGAGACACTAACAGTATAAATAGCAGTCGGGAAAATGCAAATAAATGAACACTTTATAGTCCAACCCTCTGGTTTTATTACTGTAATGCAGTCAGGCTGCATTTCTTACTGCATATACTGAGAGAAATATGCAGCTTTTTACTTTTTTTTGCAAATTGCTGCAGCAAGGGTTCAAATACTTTGTACTGGCAGAACGTTGGAGAGTCAGAGCGCGGCTCGACTGAAGCAGTGTGCCCTAGGGCATTTTGAACCACTGGCCCAATGCGTGGTACGTGTAGTAGTGAACAG